CCGGGGCCTTGCGGCCTGGGCCGCGGCCGCGTGCCGCGCGCTCCGGCGGACGGCGGCGCGCCACGTGGTCCGCGTCCAGCGGTCTCGCGCGCTCCGCGGCGCTCGCGCGGCACTCGCCGCGGCGGCCGCGGCCGCGCGGCCGCAGCAGCGGCCGCGGCGCTCGACGCGCGGCGCGGCGCGCAGCGCGCGGTCGCCGCCTGGCGCGCGCGCGCCGCCGCCGCGGGCGAGCGGCGCCGCGCCGCTGCCGCCGTCGATGAGAGCCTCACGACGGCGCGGAGGCGCAGGGGCTGCCCCGACGACGGCGCGCTCCGGAGCCCGTAGCAGCCTCGCAGACGCCCGCGCTGCCGGCGCTGGCGCAGGGCAGTGACGCCGCACCTTCGTAGGCGCGTTGAGACAAGAAACGGCTGCAACGCGCCGCACGCTGGCCCGTCGCGCAGCCGACAGCGCAGGTGGCAGGAGCTTGCTTGCTCATGAGGCCAAGGTCCAACGCAATCCAGACGGCACTTGGGCAGAGTTTACGCGGCCCTAAAACGTGGTAGTCTTCACTCTCCTGCCAGCCATCGTGTGGCTGGGAGTGAATGACACCGAATGACACGGATACGCGGGAACGTTAATAAGCTCCCTTATTCCCCCCAGCACAAACTGTGGAGAAATAGCAATGTACGGCATAGACCGTGGAGAAATAAAGTACGAGGGGGAGAGAGGAGGGGCCTAACTAGGGATACTCTCATATTGGTAGCTTGGTAGTGGCTTGTGGCTATAGAGCTTGAAGCACTTCCGTGATATTTTATTTACAGCTCGTGGTGGCAAAATCCCTGCAATAATTATCCAGCAACGCGCACACAATTTCCATTGGCTACTTTTCAGTACTGTACTGCCGCTCAGTATCCTAACAACCTCGGGACTGGCGCCCAACATGAACCCTGAGAGCTTCAATAAAATCCTGACGGAGCAAGGCAGGCGTGGGGCTTGTCGTTTGCTGAATATGATTTCGCAGCGCGCACTTTGAAGAATAATACCTAGATGACATGTGAGTCTGATCGATGTTTGGTATTTGTTTGTCATGCACGCTGCATGCTCGGGGGGTCGAATCATAATAAATTACTCCAGAGTAGCACGAATGGACCAACGTTGGGTACAAACCTGAGTCCAGCCCATGCAAAGAACGATGTGGTGGAGTTGAAGGTAGAGAATTAATGCGGTGGGTTTGTCACATGCAATACATTCGTGCAGAATACGGGAGCACCATCGCCCCATCGAACTCGGTATGCCCCCAAGGCTCGCCCCTGAGACGCCGCCTCCCCAAGTGTGTGATCTTCCATCCCCAACTTGGCCACAAAAATGGCGAGCAAAATTGATCATGAGCTTGTCATCTGTATATGCAGCGATCTCATCACCTGTCTTGTCCAGATGACCAGGCATCGAAACGTACCTTCCACGAATGGTACTATTGCACATGTCGCGTTCACCTGGGTAGCTTAGGTGGCCAGGACGACGCTTGACATATACACAAAGCTGCGAGGACATGCACGCGTGATCTTGTCTCCTAGGTTAGAAGCAAGTTTGTGCGCAAACAGTATAACTAGAACACGCCGGTTATTTCTGTGAGACGTTAAATCTAATCGAGTAGTATCGCTCAGATTTCACTTGGATACATACAATTTCTTCCACGGGGGGAAGAAGGCAGGGCGTCGTCGTTTGCATCACTCCTGACTGCGGCATGGTATCAGACATATTCAAATAATTGACCCGCTTGACCTCGATTTCAAGTGGCACGCGGGTATTTTTCCCCGTCTCTACGTCAATGGCCTTGAAACCACGCCATGCAACTGCGAGCACCCACATATGACGCAGGGGCTGTAAGTGGTACTGATTATCTTCAGTGCTTCGGGGAAAGCGAGGAAAGAAAGCAACTAATAGAGCTGCGATGGCCTTCCTGGATCGAGAGAGCGAGGCACGCCCTCCGCCAAGGAACAAGAGTCCAATAGACATATGAAGGGCCATGTGCGTGCCTAAGTTCGCGCGATGGCTAGATCTCAGCATGTGCTAGTCCGCACCATAAGTCACCCCCTCATCAACACGCCAACGGAGATCACGAAGCATACGCAGGGAGCTGAGGTCGCCGGTTCCCGCCATCACCATTCCAAGTGCAACGGCGGTCGCTCCAAGGCAAAGCTCAATTGTTGGTTTATCAGGTCGAGAAGTTGGTAAGTTTTCAGCCTGTGGTGCTTGTGTTATTCGCTTTACCCCCAAATTCCGGCCAAGGGACATTACCAGTTCTGACGCGTGAGTAGATCCACCTGCATCTCGCAAACGTTTAAAGTAGTTCAAATAATACAGCAGCGTTGATGACGCGCTAGAACAGCCAGTGCCGGCATAGCGTAGTCCAAGGGCCTTTATTGAAAGTTGTAATCTAGATAAATCAAGACGCGGGTCGATGCAAAGCATCCGCCTGCAATTACATTCGCCCGAGCTTGACAAACAGTATCCCAGTCGATTGCATTTGCGTCAGTATGTGGTGCCGTGGCACCCGACCTGTTAGAAGTCGCTCACAGAAAGCTTGGTATTAGATCATTATGCACTGAAAGCTGGCGAAGCTATTATGAGAGGAAGTTGTGATTCGACCCAATCAATGCTCGGGTTCATGGCGTCCCACAAGATAACACCGCGCGCAATAACACGAAGCAGTTGGAGATCAGGGCGTACCGTATCTAGGAGAACGTATGTATCCGGAAGCTGCAGTCGCGCAGCTGCAGCCGCAGAGTTTGTCCTGAGGAAGTAGAGACCCAACGCGAGTATGGCACCTGGTGCTGTGACATCTGTATTAATGTGCTCACCCTCGCGGATCCGCGAGCAGCGTATCTGGTCACTTGCAGCGCTTTTGCGCATTTCCCTGGCACCACTGAGAAGTGATGAGAGTTCACCAGCTTTCTGACGCTCGGAGCCACCGGCAAAAGCACGATGCAAGCGCTGAGGAATCCTGAGGTCACTCAAACCATCGGCGTCATGACTAGCACCTTTGCCGAGGGTGACCATTCCAAGTGCTAAACCAGCAGCGAGCGTGTATGCTTCGCGATCGCGTGTCCGATCACCCTGTGCACGACGCAAGATTTCTCCGAGGAGAAACTCTGCCATGAGCCGATGTGCCGTGCCACAGTAGAGCAGCCCAATGCCTGCCATAGCGGCCGTTTGAGCAGCCGCTGATACCTCCATCTCAGCGAACGGCTGGGGTAGTAAAGCCGGAATGTGAAGACAGAGCATCTTTGATACTGAAGCGTCGGCGGTCCCGCGCTTTGCAGCAGCCATGCCGAGAAGCAGCCCAACTGTTGTTGGATCATGTCCAAGGGTCAGATATTCATAAATGTCTGTCATAGCCAAAACAACTAGATGATTTTGCAGGCCAAGAGCGAGCAACAAGCCCCCATGCTGAGGCGAAGGCACTTCTGGTCTATTGTAAACTATCCATGTTCGCGTTACGCATGTGGATCGGTGTTTCGTTTCCAGACTCCCAGGTTGCAGCCGAAGGCCAGTGGCAACTCCGTTGTGGAACTGAGGCCACAGATTGAATGACCCAATTGTGGGAGAAGAAAGATCCAGTGCCACCGCCACATTGGAGGGAGGCAGTCGTCCCACTAAGCTTAGCTTTGGTACCTGAGCAGAGTATGTTAAAGCCAAGTATCTAGGTGCTTTAACTAGTTAAGTTTAATACTTGCCGGCAATCGTTCTGCGAGAGTTCGCAGCTGGGGCAGTGACCCAAGGGTAAGCATTGCGCGTCCAAGAATAGTTGCGCACGATCGTGTACACGAGAGCAAGAGCCTGGCCTGCTTGCGCTGCTCAAAGTCATGGTCTGCCATTTCCGGAGGTCGATCCACACGAAAGAACACAGGTCTTGATGAGCGCAAGAGGCGACAGACTTCGCGCACAAGAGAACTGTCACCGAAGCGCAGGGATGTCTCGTCCTCAATCCGCTGCAAGCTACCACCCAAAAGGATATCCTAACAATATTGAAAAGTACCGGGACACAGTTGCGAACCCATCGTCGTCCGCATGAGTTTGAGATCGGTGAATTGCCTCCTCTTCAGTGCCTTGAAACTCAATTGAAGTTCCGGCATTATCTGAAAATAGCAAGGCATATTTGTGGCGCCAGAAGGCAAGACAACTCACGTCACTCCATAGACGGCCGCTCTCGTGTCCCGTCTTATTCAATGTATGAACTAGTGCAAGATCTATGCGGCCCACTAGCTTATAGGCTTTTGTGGGCCATCCCTCAGGAGGCGATTCACGACAACGCTGAAGCGCATCATGCAAGGGTAGGGAGACACCAAGAGAGAGTAGTTCCAGCTCGTCAAAGCCAAACTTTGCACATGCCATGGCCCATGTGAGACTCTCCGCTGGTCTTTCGTATGCCAGGTCTTCCCTGAAAGGACGAGCAAGGATTGTGACAAAGTCAACAATATCCCGAGCACGCATGCCAAGACTCTCTTTTTCAAGGCGATTCACGCACCCCCCCTTGCTTAAAGCACTGAAAAGGTGTCGGTGAATGTCGAGAACGTGATGATTGCGCCCTGCGAATGACCACAAGTCTCCCTAATCTAGACAGCGAAACTTGGGACACGGCAATATTGACCCACTGGCGCTGCGAGGCTCTGGCCCAGACCCAGGTCTTGTGCGTAATGTTTTGCATATGTACAATTCAACAGATTTCTCTCCATCGGAGACTTGATGCATAGCGCATGAAGTAGCTTGCCAAGAGGTTTCAAAATATTCCAATGGAGAGTGATGAGCTTGCAGTCTTCGTACGCTGCGTGAAGCGCACATCGAATTATATCCTTGCATGCGGTCCAAGAAGAAGTTGCATCGGAGCGAGAGAATGTTTGGATAGCCGCAGTCTGTGCTGAGCAAACTGCGCCATAATCTGCTAGACATAAGGAAGATGGCGTCGCGCTACCAGTCGGCAGAATGAGTGCAAGCTCGTATGCTTGAGTATCTGCATAGTTCGAGTGCAGCTCGCCAGTTGTTAGCGCCGTCCAAGCTCCTTCAAATAGATTCGTGGAAGTGGCGGCTCCTTTCAGGTCAAGACATAGTGTGCCTGTGTTTGAGTTTACTAGGAGGATTTTTGAAGCTCGCGCTGCAGACAGCGCCTCCCAGTGCAACATCCAGTGCAATCACAAATGCTCCCCAGCAGCTATTGCCTGTTGCAGATGCGCAGCCCAAAAGACCAGCCGCGGCTACTGTTGCTGCCCGCCTGTTGTAGGGTCAAATCTTGAATCAAAACACTAAAACTCCACTCACAGTGCAAGACCAAGGTGCCACGGAATTGCAACTTCGAGAGTCAGTAGCGCTGCCTCTGCAACTCTCGATTCAGATTCAAAATTAATTGCGGCGAGTAGTACGCTAGTCTTATCCTCCATGTCAAAGAGGATATGCTCTTCACAACAACTCTCAAATGCGAACTTATACCGCCCTGTCAGACTTTTGAAACCTAGACAAGCTTGCTTAAGTGTTAAACCAACATGTGCACAGAGCCCTCGGTCTCACTGCAAACGCACGATCGAAAGTGAGAGGTGATAGTTTCAGGGCTTCAAGCCTGGAGATGAGGTGATTACCGCGCAATAGGTCGACACTCCCATTTGCTCGAAGGATAATTATTCCGGCAAGCGAGTCTGCAACACTTGCTGGTGCGGCATCAATGCATTCTATTTCAAATGCGATGCAAAACGAGAGCCATGTGTTGCGGGTATCGGTCTCATAAGATTGCAACGCAACCAGCCTATATCGGCGAATGTATTTTGTGATGGTTGATGCTGCGCTGAGAATCTACACAGATTTTTTTTCTGAAGTATTCTTCTGCATCACGAGACATAGAAGTTTGGTCCCATTTTCAGTAGAACTGTGAAATACACGAGATGCAATGTTTGGGGTCACCAGCACCGCGCACGCATCCGGTGTACTTCCTAGACTTTTTGTGCCCTCATTGGCCTCCACATAGTTCATTTCCACCTGCAAGCCGTCCACAAAGGTCTCAATACCACGGGAGAACACAGATTGGTTCTTGAGACGCGAGGGGACGACATCGTTGACGGAAAGGCACTGCAATCTATGAACTTGGTGTTTTGTGCTGTAGGTGACGACCATCGCTGGTTGGGCGTCTTCTGAAACAAAAATTATGCGCTCCGAGTCGTCGCATGTTTCGGTGACGCACTTATCACAGCCTCCCAGGACGCGTCGGTCCACTATGCTAACTGGCTCGAGATTTTGAAGTGGATGCATTGTCGTAAACAACCTAGTTGGCCGCGCTCTTTCCTGGAGCAGCAAGCCTTGTCGTCCAGAACTATCAAGCACGACAGGCCAGGCGTCAACAGCAGATGCGAGGGCTATTTCCACCTGAGTGCCGTCAGGGGAGTAAAGGAAAAGTAGATCAGGGTGCACTAAGACAGCAAGCCACGGACTTTTAGAGTCCTCAAATGCAACCCAAATGAGCGCTGTAATTGGATTGGCTTCTTCGAATCGAAAACTAATAAGCGTATGATGACCGCATAGCGACTGCGAAAAAACTGATTTGCCAAGCACGTAGACGATCATATCTCTCGTTTTTTCAATGGTCTCTCGTTCCGACACGCCGGTGGGGTGGGGCAAACGCTGTACAGCATACATTCTGGCCGGAACCATCGAGCCCAAGATAGGTGATAACATTTGGCAGATTACAACGATCGAATACACTTAAGTGTATAGCAGATATATCGCAGCCGTAGATGACCATTCCATAGAATGACCACCATTCAATTCAGCGCGCATTACCATAGGGTTGAGCACAGGTTTTAGATATTCAACGTCCAATCAGCCTAATTTGAAGGGCAATGTTGGCGGCTGTTGGTCAGGGATTTTTCGACGCCGCCCTCGTCGACGCTTCCCCAGGCGGACCGCAGCGGTGTTCGCCGCCCCGCGAAGGCGCCCGCGACTAGACTTACGGTTACGCGTCCGGGCGGCTTGGGTCCGGTGGAAGAGACCAAGGCGCGCTGGAGGGCGCCGTGTCCGGTTTGGCGCCCCGCGAGGAAATAAAAAGAGGTTCGCTGTTCCCCTAGTTATTGGCTATTTCTTATTGGCGGCCCCTCTTGGATATTGCACCTTTGTATCTTGTCTTTCCCTCTTATCGTGTTACCTTCCGTGGCGATGCGCGACAAGTACGCCCGCTGGATGTCGTTCTGGCCCCTCATGTCGCTCGACTAGTCGAGGCCGTTTCGCGGTAACCTAAACGTCTTTTAATGGGGCGGCGCCCCATTTGCGAATCGAAAAGGTTACCAAACCCCCGGCCAAGTCTCTATTTTCTAGGAATAAGGGAGCTATTCAATGTTCCCGCGTATCCGTGTCATTCGGTCGCATCATTCGGTGTCATTCACTCCCAGCCACACGATGGCTGGCAGGAAGCTAATAAACTATCCTAACTTCCTATTAGGCCTTGAAGCGCCACACCACTGTGCCCCCCCTGTTGTGTCGGCCACCCCCCCGCACCCGGAGGCCCCTCCAGATAGGCCGGGCGCGGTAGCTGTGTCCGAGTCTCGCACCGTGGCTAGAAACTCTGGGCGCCGTATACTGGGCCGCTCTAGTTTGTTCTAGTAGGCCCCGCGAACCCACAGCCGGCGCGCGGCGGCGGCAGAACCTCACCCAGAAGCCCCCCCCTGCGTCGGACCGGACCCCAGGGAACCCGAAACGTCCCCGACAATTTGGGGCCATCGGCTGGGGGCTTTACTCAGGCGCCGGGGGCCCGGGTGGGGTCCAAACTAGAACGCGTCGTATTTCCCGCGTTCGCCGGGACTGCGTAGCCTGCGCGCCGCAAGCTTCGTAGGCCATGCCGCTCCCCTACCTCTTCAAGGGCCCATACCTCGGCTCATGCTTCACCCAGCGTGTTCTGCTTTGTCCGGTGTCGGCTGATACAAGGAAAGACATGACAAATCCAGAGTCCATCCTTTGAGAAAGCTTCATCACAATTGTGATTATTTCACCATGGTGTGCGATGATGTGCAAACCGTGTGGTGTGCAACCGCTCTCACTTGAAAACTTTACCATCCGTGACAAGCTTGCCCTCAAGGTACCCATCAACATCTGCAGCCCAGTATTCAGCAACAAAGTCCATCATCTCCTGACTAGTGTGATCAATTTTAGTCCATGTGTAGCAAAGAGCGTCATCATTAGCATCCTTGAGATGCTCGACTGACTGTCCACGCATCAGCCAGACTCCAGAGATCTCAATCGGGAGGTCCTGTTCAGACCCAGTGACAAACATGGCGCCGAATGCCCACTTCCGAACAGCATCAGAGCGCTGGACGAAACCGCCGATCGCATTAGCGCACATGAACTGCTTTTCATTCTCGTGGTTATACTTAAATCTGCACACCCAAAGGGACCAGCCTTTGGGGTCATACATCTCCCAGAACTGCTTCTTCCAGACATCAGGCGGATTATTGGAATAAACTTTCTTCCAAACATCGCCCACAAACTCGGACGGCTCTTCTTTGTCTAGAATTTTCAGGGGGTGGTCTTTTTTCTTTTCAGGCTTAGGTTCTGTCAGCTGTTCAACTTTCGCCTTTTCTTTTTTGGGGAGCTTCTCCTTTTTGTCCCTCGATGCATTCTCCACGGATATGTTTGCATCGCTTCCCTTATTCGACTTATCCTTCTTGCCTTTCTTACTACCTTGGTCTATAGATGATCCAACGCTAGCAGATGCTGGCAACATCTCAGACTCCGCAAGTGCGACGTCACCAATGACCGCAACAAATTGAGGTTGATGCACACAAAGATCAAACCAACGGAACACGTTGGGGAATCTCGCGCGGAAAAGTTTATCCATGGCGAGCTTCGCAGGATAGACGAGCGCCGAAACTAGCGTAATGTCTGCCAACGTAATTGCGTCGCCGACTATGTATGTTTTATCGACGAGGTGCCTTTCCAGAGAATCCAACGCGTCAGTGACATGCTCCTTGGCCTTGGCGGAAGCTGCCGCATTGAATGGCATGTAGCCGATGATCGGGTATACCCACATCGTACACGGGAGTTCGAGCTCGTGCGCACAGAAATCTACCCATGAATCGATGAGCGCCGATTCGTAGAACGTCCGTCCGTAGATCTCAGAGTCCTTGCGTAGTCGCGCTACATACCGAGCGATCGCGTTAGACTCGAATATGGCACCCTGAGGTGTCTTGAGTACTGGCACCTTACCCATAGGCGACATCGCGAGGAAAGATGGCGTCTTCGCTGTCTTTTCCATGTCGAAATCTGGAACATCGATGTCGACGCCCACGTACTCCGCCGCGACAAGCGCCTTGAAGGCACGGAAATTCCCTGGGTAAGTGTAAAGTTGTAGAGTCATCGCTCCCGGCGATAATAAAATTAAATACCCCTCGCGAAGCAAGCGCCGCGATAAGCCGGGGACCCTGGCCAATAGTGAAGGCCTTAGTGATTGGCGCGTTTGGGATGCACGTGGTACCGAGGAAACCGCAGGGGCCCTGAAAGGCGTCGATAGCGACTCCGCCACAATACAGCGGCGTCGTCCTTGGGGCGCTGTGACCTGCGAAAGATACGGCAAGTTGCGGTCACCATACTCGGACGACCCCAGCCGAATCACCGGGGGAGAGACCGCGGTGTGGCAAGCCCCCAAAGTACGCCCTGGGGGTGTGGCTCTCGGGTACAAACGGGCAGGCGTCGCCAGGAGGCCACCGGTCTTATCGGCAAGCACCCCAAGTTGAGGGTCATGTCTTAGGCAAATTGACCTCGCCCAGGGGACTTAGGGAGTGTAGCGGGAATTGTCCCTTCAGGGTATACTCCCCTTACTTAGCTTGAGGTTCACAGTGCAGTGGATATAAACCAGCTTAGTGGCTTACTTGTATCTTTTGATAAAAGGCTCCGTCCGCGGTCGACCCGGGGGGGTTTCTCCCTGTTTTCGTCCTTGGATATCGAGCTCTCTACTGCCGTGCGGCTTAGTGAACCGCCGATCATCACCATGCTGGACCCTGACCTGAACCTGGAGCGGTGCGTGCGAACGCCCGACCGCCCCTCTTCGACGACCCCTCCCCCTTCGTTCGCTCGGTCCTTCGGGACAAAATTTCTCGCCCTTCGGGGCTTCGCCCTTCGGGGCGCCGGGGAAGCTGATCCTCCCCCCGTGGGACTTCGGCCCCTGCTGGGGGGCAGCCCCCCACCTACTTCAACTTCTTCCGTCCGAGACCTATCGGCCGCATATGCTCTTGGGCATGCGGCTTCTCCGACGCTAAATCTCCAATAATAATACCGCCAACAAAGGCAATTTTAATATCTAGTCGAGATCATGGAAAAGGGCGATGGCTCTGGGGGCCTTGATGCCCAAGATAAGCAAGTTGAAATATGGAAAGTGAAGAAGCTTGTCAAATCACTGACTCTCGCTCGCGGAAATGGGACGTCGATGATTTCCTTGGTGATACCACCGCGTGATCAGATTTCACGAGTTGCTAAAATGCTCGCCGATGAATACGGTACGGCTTCTAATATTAAAAGTCGTGTTAATCGATTATCTGTTCTGGGCGCGATAACTAGTACGTTGCTGGAATCCCCGCTCAAATTCTTACTCAGGTGGTGGATAGGTACACAGCAACGTCTCAAGTTGTATTCTCGAGTGCCGCTGAACGGTCTGGTCGTCTACTGTGGTACTATAATGACAGACGAGGGAAAGGAGAGACGCGTTAATATCGATTTTGAACCGTCCATCGGCGTTGCCTTCCATAAGGTTAAACGACCAGTCTGTCTACAGGTTTAAACCAATAAACACATCATTATACCTGTGTGATAACAAATTCCACACTGAAGCCCTCGATGAGCTCTTAGAGGATGACGACAAGTTTGGGTTCATAATCATGGATGGTAATGGATCCCTCTACGGTACTCTTCAAGGGAACAATCGCGAGGTCCTCCACAAATTTTCGGTTGATCTACCCAAGAAGTATGATTCATCGTGTAACCAAACGCAACATAACATAATTCGACCGTAACATAATTCGACCGCATAGGCATGGGCGAGGGGGGCAATCTGCATTGCGGTTCGCGAGGCTGCGAATGGAGAAGCGTCACAACTATGTCCGCAAGGTAGCTGAGCTTGCTGTCCAAATGTTTATTTCGGCTGACAAGCCCAATGTTGCGGGGCTCGTGTTGGCCGGGTCTGCTGATTTCAAAAGTGAGCTTCACACTTCCGATATGTTTGATCAACGATTGGCGTTGGTAACAGCGTAGCCGCTGTTGTCAAGTTTCTGTTGGAAAACTAACTTGCAGTCGCTCGTCCTGTAGGCGCGTCGTAATTAAGACGGTCGATGTGAGCTATGGTGGAGAGATTGGCTTCAACCAGGCTATCGAGCTCTCTGCTGAAACTCTCGGTTCTGTTAAACTCGTACAAGAGAAGCGGCTTTTGCAGAAGTATTTTGATGAGATCTCACAAGATACAGGAAAGTACTGCTTCATGGTTGAGGACACGCTTAAAGCACTGGAACTTGGTGCTGTCGAAACTCTCGTAGTCTGGGAAAATCTCGACATAGACCGTCTTACGCTGCGCAATCACGCTGCTGGTGAAGATAAGGTGCTGCACCTCTCCAAAGAGCAGCAGGCGCACGAGGAATATTTTCATGATGCGGCATCTGGTGTTGAACTAGAAGTCACTGAGAAAGTTTCCCTGGTTGAGTTTCTTGCGAACAATTACAAGTCTTTCGGAACGACGCTTGAGTTTGTCACAAATCGATCACAGGAGGGTTCTCAGTTTTGCCGCGGCTTTGGTGGTATTGGTGGCATACTGCGCTGGCGTGTTGATTTCTTGGAGATGGAGATGGCAGAAGAGAGTGCTGCTGAGATGTAGTAATTGCATTACTTGACTGGTTGAAGGTGTCTCATGCGTGCTGAATTCAGTTTTCTGCTTCTACTATGGTTCGTCATCTATCCCTTGGAGAAACACAAGCATCTTTATACGACGCCACCGCAATCCCACAGCAGATTCACCAGACTGCAAGACGTGGTAGCCGGAGCCTGAACCCACTTCAGAGCAAGTTTATAGAGCCTAGCAAAGCCTTACTGCCAGAATCACGGCCCTCTTGCTGATTTCCTGGACATGAGAAACCCGGCAGGTCTGAGTTCGCGACCTAGCCCCCCCCCCCCCCTCGTCGCGCTTCCGTGCCTAGGGAGCTGGGGCTCTAGTCAGGGTGAGAACTACGGGGCTGCACTTTAAAAACGCCTTGCGAGTGCTCGCAATCACGACCACAGCAGTGACTAGCTCGCGTAGCGGGAATTGCCCTTCCAGGTACACTTCCCTTACTTAGCTTTAGGTTCACAGTGCAGTGGATATATGCTGGCTTAGTCGCATACTTGTTGCAAAGAATATAGACTGGCCTTGATATCTCTCTCCCCCTCTCTCTCTCTCTATCTCGATGACTACAGTACACTACAGTACACTTGTATCTTTTGTACGAGGGTACGCGGACCCGGTACCCTCTTCTTTCTTTCTCTTGCACACTTTTTGTGGCCGAGGAGTCTGGGGGTTGCATAGGCAGCTCGCCGGCTCGGTGTGCTTGGGTGGCTGCGCCATCCAAGCGCGGTCCGTCGGCCTTCATTCTGGCATTCTTAGTTTAATTGAGCTCAGCCTCCCTTAGAGGGAGGAGTTTACCTTGCTTCCTTTAGCTTCAGGCTAGTGGGAGATTAGAAGATACGAAAGGCCAAGTGGACGAAAATCTGTGTTAGCGTTAAAGCAGTATAAAATGAGTGATGTGTTCGCAGCAGCGAGCCTTATACAAGCCATGGCGCGTCAGCGGCTGATGGGCGAAGAAAAGCTACGCCTTTGCGCGCGCGCTTCAGAGTATAAAATCATAGCTGCGAGCGTGAAGCGCAGAGCGATGCAAGCCACACGATCATTGGCATTTGCGACTATTCTGGGTTGTGCATCTCACCGGCTCGCCGCCCTTCGCGCCGAAGTGGCAGCATGTAGAGGCTACAAGGCAGCAGCATTTGCTTTGCAACGCGCTAGGGAAGCCCTGGAGGTCGCGACGGTGGGGCATTCGGAGCTCCTGAGAGCAGAGGCAGGTGCAAAGTGGATTACGCAGTATGTCGCGGAACGCGTAGCTTTACCTACCCCTCCCCATCTTCGAAAACTTCTAGCCCGCAACTGGTGTGATCTAGATGATAACGATCGTTGCATTTAACGCCCTATTGTGGGCGTGCGGAGAGTCATACACGGCATTGGCAGCTCTGATATATATCATTGTAGGCGCATCCCTGCGAGCAATGCGTGGTCAGAGTGGGGTTTGTTGCGAGGGCTGTGGTGCTGTAGGATTGTTCGAGATCACCTGTCCAGCGTGTGTAGGGTGTGGCGACACACCGCTCAAGGCCCAGCGCACAGAGTCACACCCACCACGGCTAGACAGTGCGACTGAGCTTCGGGAAGGTGGATTCTTGTGGACAGCAATGGCATCGCCAGAAGAGTCCAACTCGGATCCAGCCATCAAAAATCCTGCCCTCCGGAAGCAACCAAAACTGGATGCAGCCGCCCTCCCGAGTGACACATATACATCGTTTGAATCGCGAGTTAAGACAGCCTCCGCGGCAACCCTTCTCCTCGCACCTGTGAAACTGAATGCAAGAGGTGGAGTCACGACTGTAGTCAATCATTTTAAGTCCCAACAATGGACAGATCGGCCTGAAATTCCGTATTTGCCACCAATTCGAAGAAACTATACCGCCGCAGGAGAAGCCAAGTTGAGGTCAACCGCGTTCAAGAGCGAGCGTATGCCCTACCCAGCTCGATCACATGGAGAAGCGAATCTACACATTGTCCTGCATAAGGCTATGGAAATCCTGCAGGTGGAGTTGAAGGGCGTTGTACATAATTTCGCCTCATCGATTCTGGTGCCTGATGCAACCAAGGTCTTGCGATACTATTCCAAGAAGATTTGGGATGAAGATCGGCAATACTTTAAGAAACAGCTTGAGCGACCTTCCTCTGCACAACACGCGCACCGTCACCGCGGTCACTTGCGCGCTCTTGATGGAGACGTTGATGACATCGACGAAGTGACCAAGCGAGGTTCGGCATACTGTTTTGACCGTTCTGCCATGCGTGGCGAAGCACGCAATAAAGAAACCCTGCGCAACTACAGCAAAGATCCGCGCGCGGGTAAGCGCAATGTTCATGGACACAAGGACTGGGTCGACGTAACTTCAACGCACGAGCGACATGCGACGACCGGTCGTGTAGCTGCGCAGGAGAATCGCCGACTCGAACGCTCCTTCAAGATGCAGGGTGCTTGGAGTAAATCACAAAGCGTTTCCATGGAGCAGCGCCGAAATACTTGCACGCACCTTATGTCTCTGATCATGCGTGAGCTTGATGCTGAGTCCGAGCGTGAGTCGGCGCGTGTCAACAATATGCCGCGAGACCCGAAACAGAAACGCGTGGAGATGGCAAAGCTTGAAAAGGCGCGGTGCGAGGCAGCAGACCGAATAATGCGAGTCATTGCAGAGTATGGGATCGTAGCGGCCGCGACCGAAGCAGAGTACCTGCAGTATACTATAGAAATATCAAGACGCGGCGATCTGGAACGCAGGCGGGATGATGATAGAGCGAATACGAAAAAGCCCAAGATTAATTTTGACACAGCTGCACTCATGCTCGGTGGCGACAGCTTACTCAAGGATGCCATTCAGAGCAATAGTTTAGGTACTGAATATGATACGCTGCAGTCTCAGACTAGTGACCTCCAAAGCCCGGTGGGCCATCGGCGAGATGCACTCTCTAACAAGGATCGCCCATTTTTGGCCAAATCTGCCACTAATTCACCCATTTCGCCCACTGCGCAACTTTCCACCGAAGTCCCACCCGTTATTCTTGCTGATAGCCTTTCGCCTGATGACGGCACACTTTACAGAGCCATGATGCGTTCTGGTGATTTCGCGACCGCGTCCAAGGCAAAGCAGCTGGAATGCATTGCGGTCACTGGAGGTAACGTGCGTAGAGGTACATACACCGATAATGCCGTTATCACGCCGGCTGTAATCGCCATACCCAAAGCTTATTCTTCTGGTGGTCTTTCGAGTTCTCAGAAGATGTCAGCTAGCGAGGTTTCGTACGCAAGGCGCTGGAGCAACAAAGCAAAACACTCGAAAGTCATGGAGAAATCCCTTTGCGCTAACATTGCTTTTGAGTCCGCCCGCAAGTCCCAAGTAAATCGCATTGGCATGGTCGTTGACCGAGCTTTACCACTTTGGTCTCGCATGAGTGAACGTGGCAACGCCCGTGGAGAACGTCACTATTCAGAGGCATTCGGTCAGCCCATGGAACATTTCTTTGTGCCTGGCCAACTCACGGCTAACCTGTCCAGTCTCGCTCAAGCTGCCCGAGGTTGCACTGGCGCCGCGGCGCTCAAAGGCAGCAGGCGGGCAGCATGTGCAGCCAGTGTTGGTCAGTGACGAGACGGAGATCTGAAGTTCACTAGGCTAGGTAGCGGGGCCCAGCGCCGGCCTTCTAGGCAAGGGGGGTATTGCCGGCATAGTGCACTGCCGGCATAGTGCAGCGCGAGCCACTGCCTGCAAAGAAAACAGACTGACCTTTCTATCCCCCCCCCCCCCCTCTCACTATACTACAGTACAGCACGCTACTCTACCACCATCCTACTACAGTCACATCAGCACTCGTCAGAATCGGAGTATGCTAGTTATGGCCGCTCGATTACCGGTAAAGCCCCGAGCCGCCTCGGTAATACCACGGTAATTACCGGTAATCCCGATTACCCGGGTAATTACCGGTAAAATACGGTGTACCGGGACGGCTGGAGGCGGTATGGCGGCTCAAAAGGACCCCCGCGAACCCGCGTGTCGACCGAATTCTCTTTTACCCGAAGGCGCCGCACGGTCTAGCTTGCGACTCCTCTCAGGGCTCTAGGCGCGCGGGCGTGCGCGGCGGCGGGGCGGGTCGTCGTCGTCGGACTCGGTGTCGGACTGGCGCGCGCGGACCGTGACGCGGAACGCGACCGCGACTCGGACGGTCCGCGCGTCATGATCGCAGGCTACCCGTACTTGCGGGAGCTCGGCGCGCCTCGGTATTACCCGGGCCGGGAATATGGCCCTCGGTAATACCGCGGTAATTACCGGTAATTACCATACCGGTATTTTACCCTGAGATTACCCGCCCGGCTATAATGCTAGTATTCAACCCAGCCTAGCATAGCCAGCATAAGGCAGATTCAGCATAGCCAGCATAGGCCGGTATGGGCGCCCAAGCATATGTGGTGGTCCTCTCCCTGCTCGCCGCTTCCCCGGGGCAGGCCCGGGGTGGCGCGGCTTATTATTTTAGCCCACCCACCACCCTCCTGCGGCGCAAATGAAGAACCCGCCCTGCCGCAGTGCCGTACCCTCCTCCCTCCCTCCCTGCTGAGGTGGCTGCGCCATCCAAACGCTTTCCGTCGGCGTTCATTCTGGCACTCTTAGTTGAATCGAGGGAGGAGTTTACCTAGCTTCCTTGCTCCTTTAGCTTCAGCTAGGAATTCCTAGTGGGATACGAAAGCCCAAGTGACGGAATTATTGTTGCCCGGGCAATTGGCCCGGGTACAAAACCTCCCAGGTCCGGGCACGTGTGTGTGGTACCTTTCGGCACTACGACGCCCCAAAAGTGCGATGTACCAAACGCATGCGGAGCAACGAAAGTGCGATGTACCAAAGTGTACGGACGAACGTGGATGGCACGACCTTCGTCACCACGAACCGCGTCGTGATGAGCGAAGCAGTAGAGACCATACCGACAACCAGGGACGGCCAAAAAAGCTCCCGCGTGGTCTTGAGCGAGGGGCGACAGGGCGTGCTGTCAAAGAACCTCAATCTGCACGAAGGTCACGCTTTCAAAAGATGAGTCCTACGAACCAAACTCTCTCAAGCACTGCGGCAGCATCGATTGGATACAACGGGTCACCGCCCGCGGCTGACCTCCTTAAGGCGGCAATGCAGAAAGGACTCGTGCCTGTTGTCGCAGACTCTGCCACAAAGGCGCGACGGGAGCTTTTCGTTGGCAACACTCCACAAGGCTCTATATACTGTGTCCTGTGAAAACTGCTGGCACCATCCATCAGGCTGCTATTGAAAATCTCAAACTTGTCCATACCGACAGGTACAAGTGAGCGCACACTTATGGATCATTTGAATGCAGCGATGACACTGGCCATGCTCACGTCAGCACCAGGATCTCCGGTAATTGCGTGCCGTTTGAGTGCTGCGCGCGGAGGAGCGTCTAGTAGTAAGGTCAATTGACTAATTGGTCACGTGATGTGAGAACTCCAGGTTTGCGTTCGTTGAGTTGCGAAGCGTCGAAGAGACAGATCGTTGTCTGAATCTCACGGGATTACCATTTATGGGCGCGTCGCTCAAGATTGGGCGCCCATCCAAGTATGACGGACCAGTCACCACAGCTACTTCCTGGTCTCATATCCTGCTCAGCCTTGGCGCTGATGCGGTCGATGGGATGTCGCCCGCAGCCCTGGTTCTCAAAGCAGGTGGTGCTGACACGTCCCTAGTTGCGCTTGAAAACGATGCCACGAAATGTGAGCTCTTCATTGCAAATTTATGCCCTGAGAGCAACGCCTCCACACTGGCCGCATTTCTCGAAGCACTCGCAGTCGAAGCTGCAATAGATGTGCAAACTGGTGGGGCCATTAAAAGTGTCCGGGTGTCTGGAACATATGCCTTCCTCGAGACGCGATCTCATAGCGACACTTCAGCATATCCGGCGTCAACGCAAAAAGCTGGTGAATATTTGGGGTCGTGCAAATCCATAGGCGCTTCTAAATTTCGATGGTGTTCCCTTTCGTGGCCATCGGCTAAGGATTTGCCGACCAACAAAGAGCACAGATACAAATCATGGCACGACAAGTGGGTTTGAAGACGACAACGACTTTCGCCAGAAATGCTCAAACTGGGCAGGAATGCTCGAGTTGATTCGATACCGACGTGGCAGGTGTGATCAAAATATCCAAAATAAGAGCGACCATCACTCGGATGGTTTTGCGGAAACAAAGGCACTGCCGCTCTGTGCAGACGTCGTTGCACGCCTCGCCTTACTCACAAAAGATCCGACAACCGTCCTTGTCCTCCATGGCGCTCTCCAAACTGCCAAGGCAAAGGCACAGCAAGCAAGTAGTCAAATTATGACGGATGATTATAGTCTGCTTATCCGAGATGTTCTTGCTGATCTCCGTGCTGAGTGCGCAACATACGGAAGTATCCATCATGTCAGCGCAAATAGCAAGGATCTTTTTGTAGAATTTAGCCGCCTCGACGATGCCATCATCGCAACTGCCAGTGTCCCACGTGTGCATCTTGTATGATTGATTCACGCAGTGCTTCTGACATAGGCGCTTGCCAACCTCAAGTTCCGACGCTTCTGTGATCAGCCAATTCACATCGCGTTTTACCGCCAAATAGACAGGCCTACAGCATAGCATGAAGTTCCTTAGGGGGCTCTGTCGTTCAAATGGTATTGAAGTGGGGGGAAGGAGCCACCTACTCGGTAGACGCACTGCACCAGTAGGACGCAGAGGAAAGAAGCAGGAAACAGCACACTTTAACTCATAAGACAAATTAGTTCCGGCTGGGGCTGAATGCATCCTGAATCCAGGATGTAGAATTACGTGTGAGTCGACTCGTACCTGGCGAGATGCATCCCCTTGATTCTTATTCGCATACTTCACTTTGCTTATCACTCGAGCACATACTTGAAGGGGCATCAGTTGATGTTCGCTCCCCCTATTGACAGCCAACAGCTCCTTGCAATATTCTCCTGCCCAAAAATTTGGGTTGTCGCACATGCGCCGGCCGCTTGCGCCGGCGTGGTATATGGTGGTCTCAGGGTGACTCTTAGGCCAGGCCCAATGCGCCGGCCCTATGGGCCTAACCAGCGGGCATAACCCGAACGCGGGAAATTCGACGCTTTCTAGTTTGGACCCCACCCGGCCCCCCGGCGCCTGAGTAAAGCCCCCAGCCGCCGAAGGGGGGTGACACCGGCCTCAAACTCAGCCCAGCAGGCCGAGGAGCGTCGCCAAATCACTGTATGGGCTGATGTGAGCGTCCTGAGCGCGTAAGTGGGTTTGTGGGGGCGTCTGCCGACGCGGTCGGAGCGCTCGGAGGCGTCCAAAATCGACAAAATCGATAAAATGCAAGCATTTCATTGGTCGGATTCGAATCCGCCGGCATCCAGCAGCCCCGGAGCGCCTCGAAGGGCAGCCCGGCTCGTCGCGCGTGGTCATGGGGCGCGACGCCTGGAGCCAGGGTGGCGGCGGTGGACACGTCGTACCCATGGGTGACTCCAGAGGCGCTCTGCTTGCGAGAATTGGCTGTGTCGTCGAACGCTCGGGCGCCGGAGCGGCGGTTCCCAGTGGCGGCACAGCTTCGAACGCCTCCGTGGCGGCCCCGGCGTGGCGCCACGTGCGGCCGATCGGCAAGTACAACGCTCTAGTACGTCGGCGAACGCAGCGCTGCGACTTGGGCCGCGCTGTGATCGGAACCATTCGCGCGGCGGCCTCGAACGACTCGCATGGCGCACAGCGTCATCGAGTGTACCTGGTTGGCCATGGGGCTTCTCACGTTGGTGTTGGGGCCTCCAGGCAGTCCAGACGGACCCATGGACCAGATCCGACGCGAGAAGGCGACCCCCGAGGTCGAGATGCGCCTCCCAGATCGATTCGAGCGCGCACAGCCCACTGCCCGCGCGCGGTCACCATCGCCACCTGGACGTCCTCCGAGTCCTATCTCCCCGGCCCTTTTCCCACGCGCGAGGGCTCGGGTAAGGAGCGCCCTCGTCAATTTGGCGGGGCTAAGGCCACCATGCTCGCGCGCTTGGACGGCGTCGCGGTCTGGTGTCGCCCCCCGTGCCGCCGACCCAAAATTGTCGGGGGTGTTTCGGGTCCCTTGGGGTCGCCTCCAGCGCAGAGAAATGTAAAAATCCCAACTGCCGCGGGGAGGTTCGAACCCTGCCCGGGGGACCCCACTGCCCCCCCCCCCCCGTCCCCTCTAATGTCCGCAAGCTGACTTTTGCTTCGTGTCGGCATCTTGACGATATGTTGACTTTCGATGGTGCTCTGTGGTGTTCTCCGGCTATCGACGTGGGGTCATTCCCACTAAATGGCCACCGACACCCCGCAGACGGACGCCGGCGAGCGTCGTCGCTCGGTTGTCCGGTCGTCCCCGGAGGTACCGTTTTCGGGGTTTTATTCGCGCGCGAACGCGGCCGCGGAGCGACGCGCGGCCGCCGCGCGGAACGCGATCATCGAGTGGTCGGATTGGACATCGGATTCCCATCCGGCGCGTCGGACTCGTCTTAGAACGCGTCACTACGGGTCGTTTCTACGGAAACGATTTTACCGGGGGAGCCTCGGAGCCGGAGCCAGTGGATGTATGTTGGCTTGGTCGCTTACTTGTATCTTTTGTACGAGGGTACGCGTATCCGGTATCCTTTTCTTTCTTTCAAAGTTCCCTTGCACACTTTTAGTGACCGAGGAGTCTGGGGGGTGCATAGGCAGCTCGCCGGCTTGGTGTTGCTAGATCCCGTAGTATATCGGGCAGTGTAAATATCGACCTTTCTAGTTTACAGTGAAGGAGCTTACATTCCTTCACAGTTGGTCCGAGCTACCGGAACTGGTAACTGGCGCTATCTAGTAGGGGGCTGCTAGGGCTTCCAACTGACTGACTAGGTGTAGTTATGTTGCTACGCCCGGTTTCTCCAGGGGCCAAGTTCCGGCTCGAGCCTGGCGCGACTGGGTTGCCAACGGCAACCAGAGGACTTTAACAGCAGGAGAGTGGTCCTGTAGCCGCACAGTCACGAGAGCGCCGCCACCTGGCCTTAGTTCTCCAGGGGTGTAGGTCGAATGAGCTCAATCCATCCACCCGGTTAGTTCGCAATCTGCCAGCTTGAAGTCTGCGTCCATTTCTGTGCAGTTTGAGATTGCGTATCTGATGCGCGATGCCATGACCTGATCACGCATATTGAGGGACAAGCGATGAATTGGAATGCCAACCTCCTTGGAAGTGTATTCTGGTAAATTGATGGAGAAAAAGCAGGTATGAGCTTTGGGTAGATATTGGTCAGGGTTCAAGTTTGGACCGTCACCTACCGCTGCCTAACAGTGTTATGTTCAACATTTCTACAGATTGGCACTACATGGGACCTGAATTTTGAATTTTTGGCTCAGTGTTCTGGAGGCGGGCGGTAAGCGGGTGCGGGCCCAAACAAAGCGCAAGAATGCTGACCGTTCTTCGGCAGTAAAGGAAAATAAAGTTTCCCTATGAAACTAAGGTGGAGGAGGAGTGATCTTTATTCGGCTATTACCAGAAAAACGTAATGTATGCGCTAGACGGTGAGATACCATCATCGTACTCAGTATTGAGCTGTAATAAGCTGATGTCAACTCCACGGACTCCACAAATTTGCCTTTCAATTTCTT